CAGATTTCGGTTCAGCATCCCTTTAAGGCAACGAGTCACTGCTACTTCCATGGCTTGTATCGCGTGTTCTGAGTTGCCTCCTTCGTAAAGGGCTGATGTCACGGTTTGTAATACTGATTCAGCGCTGAGGTAGTGCTGCGCTGTGAACAGAATACCTTACTCGGATATCGAAGTTTAGATAAGCAGATCAATGTTTAACTATGCATCTTTTTTCTTTATAGGTTACCAGCACAAGGTGTTCCGCGGCCACGAAGGCAGTACAAGGTCCCCCATGGACACGAAGGCCGTGTACTCGAATTTTACATTTTTAATAAACCACTTATTACTCCTTCCCACAGTTTCATGCAGGCATTTTCTGAACCTTGCATGCGTATATAGGCATACATATAAGTGACACTTGCACTCACTTTCCCCTTTCCTCAAAAGAACGGTTACATCTGGACCACATGTCTTGCAAACAATTGCCGTCTTCCCTCTTAGAGCCCTCTATCTAGAAACCCATGCTAGGAGTATAATTTCTGATACATTTCATTTGAAAGTCTACATACACTGCTTTGAGTCTCTGTTGAAAATCAAATGTTTGTTTTCTACCGCGTTGCAATTCAGGTTCTGATGTGCCATCTCATTAGGTATATTCCGACGGAATAAACCTAATGAGATGGCACGTCAAACCCTCAAGTACAACGCGGTAGAAACAAACATTTGATTTTCAACCGAGACTTAAAGCAGTGTAGACATTCAAATGACATGTGTTAGAAATTCTTATGAGGTATCACGGCAAAACCTTAATTGAAACGCGGTGGCCAATAGTTTTCGTCAACTCCTTACGGATTCGTTACAAAACTCATTTGCATTTATTTTGAGACTAAAAGATACGATCTGTAGACTCCATAAACTTTCAAATTAAATTCGTTAAAAAATTTTGTAAGGGTATTCACGGATTGGTCATGTTAAAATTTTATACGTTAGAAGCTGTGTATGTAGTGTAGCTGAATCCAATTGATGGACGCTGCAGGCGTCTGAGACATTCAAGTGCCTCATTTCACCGTGAAACTTTTCCCTTCCAAAATCACTTTTTTTTTTTTTTTATAATTCATGACGAGAGCTTTCATTAAATTATCTAGGCTACATATCCGGCTTGATTATTCTTAAATGTCATTCTCCGAGCCTTCAAAAAGGTTAAAACAAGAAACGAATTGCTGGTCGCGCACTTTCAAATACAACGGACACCTCCGTTCCGCTAGAAATTTCGTCCGTGGCGTTAGCAGTGCGTAATAATTAACTGAGGTGCGAGATCGCCAATAATAAGAGGAAAACAGCCTGGATACTAAAACTTCGGTGACATGGTTTCTGACAGGCAGGTACACATTGCTGGAATAAAGTGACTAAATATTGTTACTCGTTGCTCACTCAAAAGGTAACTATAAGTATGTTGCATGTTAATGCGATTCAAAAGGTACGCGTTTCCTGAGCTTGAAAGTAACGCGTAATTTTCTCGTTATGCTCAACCTGTCGTTTTGATAAAGTAGAAAACCGCTTCCACCCTTGATCCAGTTTATAACTTCTCGCCTTTTAGCGCGATATTACTCGGGAACAACGATGCTGACATACCGGGCGCACAGGCTTCTTGTCTATCTGACATTTTCTCGTCGTGGAAATCACAGGTGCCAGCTGGGGTGATAACTAGGTTGGGAACTCGTCTAGTGCATGTTTCCCTCCAGATGCAACTAAGTGCCGTCACTCGTTAGTTCATCAAAATGTAAGAAAAAATACCTAAGTGGCTGTTTCTCTTAAGAAAGTAACTTGGCCGCTACTTTGGTACCGAAAAAAAGAAAGAACTAGGTACAACTGACGCGTTACTTGTACCGCATTTTATACAAGTCTGGCTTCGGCCTCTTCTGTTTCACGCTTTACATAGTCTTACCTTCTTCTGAGTGGCGAGAAAATGTGTTGGCTTTACTTTTATGCCTTAAGGGTAACTTATGCGTAAAACGTCCTCAAAGCCTTAGCGAGAGAAGGGCGATTGGCCCATTTGGCTAAAATGCCCCCCAGAACAAAAATACTGTTCGGAGTCAGAGATCCCCTCTCAGAAAGGGTAGCCAAACACAGACCATGCGGAAGAGTTTTGACCCGAGGGGTTTAGTTACTTTTAGAGCGCATCTCTTAAGCGCGATCCAAACCAGCGCTTCTTTTTGCGGCTGCAGGTCGTGCGCGCCCCAGATGTGACGTATTTCGTTACGTTTTTGCTGTTTCCGGGCGCGCTTTCTGAGTCAGAACCGTGCGCTTTGGTTTGGACGGGCCAGCTTCGGGCAAGCGCGCACGCAGGTACGAGCGCACTCTGGCGGTCACCTTCCTCGCGTCGGAAACGGGGGGAAAAGTCATAGATGCAGCCAAACTCGCAAGCAAGCAAAGTGCAACTGCGACAGACTGGCCGGCCAGACGGCGAAGAAACGCGGAGCCGGAACTAGCTTGCCCTCCACCGATTGGCCGGGACACAGGAGCGCCCTATACGTCACCGCGCGTTTGTGTGCGCGTTGAGAAAGAAGTTGAAATCAACTAACTTCTTTATGCGCGCCCGGAAGGAGCGAAGAAGAGGCGCGACGTCACGAAATACGTCACATCCGGGGCGCGCACGACCTACAGCCGCAAAAAGAAGCGTTGGTTTGGATCGCGCTTTAAGCGCGATCCAAACCAACGCTTCTTTTTGCGCCTGTAGGTCGTGCGGCTGCGGATGTGACGTATTTTCCTGACGTCGCGCCGCTTCTTCGCTCCTTCCAGGCGCGCACAAGAAAGTTGGTTGATTTCAACTTCTTTCTCAACGCGCACAAAAACGCGCGGTGACGTAGTAGGGCGCTCCTGTGTCCCGGCCAATCGGTGGAGGGCAAGCTAGTTCCGGCTCCGCGTTTCTCGCCGTCTGGCTGCCCTCTCCTCCCCCCTTTTATTCTCTTCCAACATGACAACGCGATCTCTTTCTCTCTCTTTCTCTCACCGTCTCGCCGGCCAGTCTGTCGCAGTTGCACTTTGCTTGTGCGCGCGTGCCTGCGTGCGCGCGTGCGCGCTCGCCCGAAGTTTTGCCCGTCCAAACCAAAGCGCACGGTTCTGACTCAGAAAGCCCGCCCGGAAACAGCAAAAACGCTACGAAATGCGTCACATCCGCAGCCGCACGACCTACAGGCGCAAAAAGAAGCGTTGGTTTGGATCGCGCTTTAAAGGGGTACTCCGCCGATTTTTGAGCTACCTCAACTAACTATATGTTCTGACTCCCCGGCCTTTACCCTTTCTGGTATGCTATTTAGTATCGTGAAATTATAATAGTTATTGCGAAATCGGCAAATGAAAATCATGCAAAAACAAACATTCAAATATACCCGCCCTTTTCAGGGCCGTGACGTCATTGGAAGTTCAGCTTGCCAGTCGGGCGAGCAGTCTAAAAAATAGAATATGCCAATCATTTTTTCCGTGCTGCAGCGCGGGGACTGGAGCGAGCTTCCAAAGCATTCATTTGACACCATGAAACTGCTTCGAATCAGTTGGGAACAAATTCTACAGTCCAAAGAGTGAACCCCTGCACTTCCACTGACGTCACTTTTTCATTGTTGCCAGTAGAGACTTTCAGTTTGAAAAACACGATGAGGACCAAAATTGTAAATTCAATAACTTCGTGAAAAAAAATTATTTTGACCTAATATTCGGGATACTATTTTGGCGATGTTGTTCGGCGAGTTTAGCAAAATTTCAAGCAAATCGGGGGCCATGAAGACATCGGCGGAGTTCCCCTTTAAGCGCGATGCAAACCAACGCTTCTTTTTGCGCCTGTAGGTCGTGCGGCTGCGGATGTGACGTAATTTCGTGACGTCGCGCCGCTTCTTCGCTCCTTCCGGGCGCGCACAAGAAAGTTGGATAATTTCAACTTCCTTTTCAACGCGCACAAAAACGCGCGGTGACGTAATAGGGCGCTCCTGTGTCCCGGCCAATCGGTGGAGGGCAAGCTAGTTCCGGCTCCGCGTTTCTCGCCGTCTGGCTGCCCTCTCCTCCCCCCCCCCCCTTTTATTCTCTTCCAACATGACAACGCGATCTCTCTCTCTCTTTCTCTCGCCGTCTGGCCGGCCAGTCTGTCGCAGTTGCACTTTGCTTGTGCGCTCGTGCCTGCGTGCGCGCTCGCCCGAAGTTTCGCCCGTCCAAACCAAAGCGCACGGTTCTGACTCAGAAAGCGCGCCCGGAAACAGCAAAAACGCCACGAAATGCGTCACATCCGCAGCCGCACGACCTACAGGCGCAAAAAGAAGCGTTGGTTTGGATCGCGCTTTAGGCGCCCGTTTGCGCATCGAGCGGCGTCGGCGTAACCGCGCGCGTTGCACTATGAGACGTCACAGTTTTCCCTCTGAATTTAGCGGGGAAACTGAATTGGTGTTGAGGTCACATGACGTCCATTTCCCCGCTAAATTCAGTAGAGAAATTTAACCAGGTAAATTTAGCGGGAAATTTTTTGCAAAATTGAACCGCTAAATTTAGCGGAAAATTTAACGAAAATCTTCCGTTAAATCGGAAAGGACTAGGAGAGGAGGAGGGTACGGTACAGAGCGGAAGAGGGGCATGCCCACGCCTCCTCCTTCTCAACAGCTGCGCTCAAGTCTCGCATTACAGAGATTTGGAAACTTCTCTCTTTTCTTCCCCCTTACAAAGTCTTGGAGTACATTGCATGTATTATTAGACTTTAAAGATACAAATTAGCAGCAAATTATGATTTTTCGTCTTTCTGAATTGTTTTTAGAAAGCTTGTGCTCATAATAGCGAGCCAAAAATGCGGCTAATTATGATCCAGTTTGTATTTCAACGAGCAATCTATAGCCCCGAGAGCGGGTTTCCCTAACGGGGTAAACATTTCTGGAAATCGGTACTCCCAACTATGCGGTTCACACTAAGGAGGTCCAGGTAGGAGTGCAAAGCTTTGCGGTCGCTTTAGCGGCGTGTTAGAAGAAATAGGAAAAAGGTCAGCGTACAATTTCGCCGATCCTCAACAGTCCAGGGGTGGTCGCCATGAAGGCGCGGTCCGCGCCGATGGTCGGCATTCTCCTTTGCTTGCACCTGCAAAATGAGGCTGCTCTCTCGGAACCTGCAGAAAAGTGTCGCAGGCGTTACTAACGTTTGTCACCTGACAGTCTGGCTTCACAAAACTTCCCCGTTAAATATGGCGGCAAAATAACATTCTACTCACATATAACGTCCCCCCCCCCCCCCTCTTTTCGTCCAAAAAATGTATTCTACGTTTACAGTATAGAGTGTTACTCGTTACTTAGAAATAAAAAAAAAAAATAACTGCGTATGTTGTCATTGTAAATTTGTTTGTGAAAGGGAGCTGTATTTTGCTTAACATTTTATATGTGCATTACTGTCATGTTTACCGCCCGTTTTCATTCTCCCAGACTTAAAAATAATGTCTGATGTTTTTAAGTGTTAATCAGGTGGTTATGCTTTTCTTTTTCTATCCAAATCTTGCGAAACCACAAGGGAGCCAAATCAAGCATTGACCGCGAAAATCCGCTCTTTAATGCGACGCGCTTGGATTTTCTGTGGAGGTCTTCGAAGATGCGGCATTTTTGCACATATTTTAAAGAATAGGCTTAGTAGAGTAAAGAATAAAAAAACGTGCATACGCTACCTAAGGCATCTAACTAGCGAAATAATCACCTGAAATCAACCCATTCAAGGTCGAAATCCTAACAGTCACCCATTTGCCTTAAAGTTGGTTCAACAGGTTAATAGACACATCTGAAATAGAAACCCAAATTACAAACAACAAATTAAGAAAAAAAGTTTGATGATGTGAAATGACTGCTGGAAAACCTCACCACAGACAACCAAAAGAAAAGCCCCCAATTCTGTTTCGAAGGGACACTGACAGCGTGTTTATGCTGTCCATAGTAACCCTGAGACGTAGGGGAAAAAAAAACGGACAGTACAACGAGGTCTCTAACACAGCTTGTAAATTTATTTAACAACCATCGTCTTATATACATGTCGCCGACCTCCAGCACAATTCGAAAGACCTCCTCGCCCACTTCACAGTGTACCCTCACCCTCAGCATATACCGACAAACGCACACAAAAGCAAACACGCCCGAAACACAAAGGGACACTAACTCCAAAAGGGAATGCAGGAACTTCCCCACTTGGCAAGGTCAGACTGAACCCAACAACACTTACGAACTCTTTTGTTCCCCTATCAAGAAGCAGACAAAGTTGTCCGAAAAAGGATCCACAGAAAACCACACCAAAAGCATGAGAAGAACCCGAACCGCAAAACAAATGACCCTTCACTTCACAAAAAAAAAAAAAAAAAAAGGTTTATAAATTTAGACACTTTTTTGTTTCCTTATCAAGGGATAATGAAGGTTGACAGTTCCCGAAGCTTAAAATACGCAGTTTCCCTTAACACTCTCCTATGGATATTCTTCTCTCTATGTAAGTCTTACATAGAGAAAAGAAGAAGAATAGCCATAGGAGCTTCTTCTTCTTTCTATGTAAGACTGAAATCTTACATAGAGAGAAGAATATCCATAGGAGAGTGCTAAGGGAAACTTTGCGTATTTTAAGCTTCGGAAACTGTATCAGTCAACCTTCGTTATCCCTTGATAAGGAAACAAAAAGTTTCTAAATTTATAAAACTTTTTTTAATTTTATTTTTGGTTAAGTGAGGGTTAGAAGTTGTTAGAAGTTGAATGCTGTTAGAAGTTGAATGCATGAAGTGATTACTCGGCGTATCTTTGCATGTAATATCCTTTTGTGTTCTGAATGGATGTCCTGCTGACAAATTTGAGACGGGCCCCAGACCTCGTCAAGCTGCCACTGGCAGCTTTTTGTCTAGGGTCTCCGTTGGCTTAAAGGCCATAAATAAAACGATTGATTGATTGATTGATTGATTGATTTGTTTTGCGGTTCGGGTTCTTCTCATGCTTTAGGTGTGGTTTTCTGTGGATCCTTTTTCGGACAACCTTGTTTACGCCGTTTCATCGAATAAATGGACATTTCATCGAACGCCATTTCATCGAACGCCGTTTCATCGAATCTCTAAGGGCCGTTCCATCGAATTTCTCTGTATCGAGTTTTGGGGCATAACAGTGCTTTATAGATGTTTTACCTTACATTTGTTAAGACTAAGGTAGTCACTTGTGAAACTGTCTTTAGGGTAGAGCCAAATTACTAGAAATAAAAACCATTAGTATAAAAACAAATGGGTATGCGACTTACTGAAAAGTTTTACTCATGTACCTGTCAGAAAACATGACACTGGAGGTAAAGGACCGGCACTTAAAACACTTTTGAATGTCTGTGTCGTTTTTTTTTGTTTTTTTTTTTTTACCGGCTGTCCGGGGGTTTCGGTAATGTGCCATCCACACCAGCTCATTTGCACACTTACGCTTAGTTGAAGGTTTATTCACGAAAAGCATTTAACTGCCAGGGCAGCACGCTTATAATAAAACGATACTCTGCCAGGAGAACACACGAAATAAAATATAATGGTACTCTGATTATCAGCTTTATGCTGAGATTGAACGTTTCTGCTTTTTTTTTTTTTTTTTAGTTTTCAAATTTTACAGAGTCAAAAGCTGCACAAAGTGTCAGCCAACATGGTTTCGGGCTACACCTGGACTGGAACCACCTCCCCTTCACTGTCAACTTTATTACCGACCCTTTTGCCTATGAATCATCTTCAGGACGCTTTCTTAGGAAAGCCAACCCGCGCCAGACAATAGTAAAGCCCTGGGTGTACGCTTATGGCCTGAACCAACGAGACTGAATGTCCAACGAGCCTGAATGTCCAATCGGTCACGTGACAGGCGAGACGGAATGTACAACGAGACGAAAGATCCAATCGAGACGAAATGTCCATCGAGTCTGAATGTCCAACGAGACGAAAGGTCCAATCGAGACGGAATGTCCAACGTGCCTGAATATCCAACGAGACGAAAGATCCAACCGAGACGGAATGTCCAACGAGCCTGAATGTCCAACGAGTCTGAATATCCAACGAATATAGAATGAACCTTGCAAAGAGTTTAGAAGACATTTCTTTGTTGAATTGTAGGATTACTGATAGTTACGGCAGTGATAAATGCGTTCGATGAAATGGGGAACCGGACATTTCGGTGCGGAGATATCGGTACGCGATCATTTCGGTATTCGGTCGCTTCGGCACTGGGCTTTTCAGTACCGGGATTTTTGATGCACGGCTATTTTGATATGCCGCTGAGCTTGTCCCACTGACGTTGCCTCTGTGAAGTCCCCAAAATGAAATTAAAATTATGCTCGTATATTTTGTAGACTTCATAAAATCCCGAAAACAATTCATTTATTGTTCCTTTTTTATATCTATATATCAAGATGATATCTATAATTTAAAAAAAAGACGTTTAAAGGGTCACACATTCTACAAGATCAAAGACCGAACTCGTTGACCATTGACAACCTGTCACGCGTTTAATTTTAGAAGGTCGTACCTCTGGACCGGAAACAAATGTGGGACCCACGAGCGTCCTCAGCCACCGTTTTTCCGTATTGTACGAGTTGCTATATTTTTCTTATTCGTGTCCCTAGCCCCGTAAAGATGATGTCCCTCGCATGGGAGAAAAGCGCCTGATTGAATTTTTAATATTATAATTATTATTAGGTGAAGTCGGTGTAGTATGTGTAATTACTCTAAATTGCAGTTTTTGTTTTCTTCTTTTTTACAGAACGAACGTGAAAGATATGGACATTTCTGATTGGACTTCTCGGTCCCCAGAGACAAAAATTCGATCCTCATATCAAAATCAGTGATAGAATACAACGTTCCTCCCATTAAGCCTTTGTGCAGCTAATCTCCTCAATTAGTGAGCTTCTGTCCGGTGATTGTGCGTTGACGCTTATCGCGACGACTAGTTTCGCATGCTTCGGCCACCAAAGCGATTGCTGTCGCAGTGAACCATGTATTAAGCAACTAGTAGGTAATATTAATAATTATTACAATACTTTTTTAGGGTTGGCTTCCGTCGTTTCTGCCTTTCCTGGTCACGTGGCATGCAGCAATCGCACCGATACGCGCCAGGTAGCATACCAAGGCTGCGATCGGATTTCAACTGGTTCTAACTCTGTCACGGAGCCGCTGCGACAGTGCGACCGTTATTTATTCATATGCGTACATTACAAGTGCACATATGACCACGGCATCAGGAGGTCTTCCCAAATTCCATAATGCAAGAGTTGCGGGTGAACATACTCACGGAGAACCCGACTTTAATCATTTTGAATAACCCGGGTATGATTCACTATCGGACCCCTGCCGATTCTGAGAGCTGCATTTGTCATGCTCTCTTTTTTGAAAAGAAGGTCTCACTGTTGACGCCCACTGTCACCGGCAATCTACACACCCAACCCTAATCAACTCTTTACGACAGTTCGACAAACGGGGACTTTCGCCCCAGTCTTCATTCTGCGAATCGGGACGAATTGTCCTTCTTCCAGTTGTCCAGAGACCAATGGAATTTCGACGAAGTGACCAGATTCGTGGTGCAATACGCTTCCCCTACAAGAATAGAAAGCCACGTAGAACGATCTATTGTTATATTCACACATGATGCAGGCTATTAGTACTTCCGGGTGTGAACCTTCTGCTTCATGCCGAGGTTGATGCGTTCGCTTCCTTTATCAGCAGTCAAGCTCCCACCTACCAAGATGTCATGAACTACCTTGACAAAATGGCGAGCTTTGGACTGCTTCCAGAAGCCAGTTAAATTACATGGGCTTCTGAAAACCACTATATGTGACATGCACTATATGCATGTCACATGCAAAAGAAATATGCGTACTGTGTGATACTAGTATTGTCGTTCTACTCACTGACATACAAACCCATTGGTAGGTAATGGATGCGTATGTAAACTACTGACGACTGAAGTGTACAGCGAGTAGTTGTCTGTTCCAAAGATAAACGAACAAAAATAATTTCTCAAATTCACACAAATGTTCCGCATTTACTCAGGAATTTTCGGGTCACACCAGCCACCACCCCCATGCATTTTCAGGCGCGTTAGATGTAGATTTTATTTAAAAAAGATATCTATATTTTTTTATTGT